GGCGGATCCGTCATTTCATCGACTTGCCGGGCGGATCCGTCATTTCATCGACTTGCCGGGCGGATCCGACATTTCATAGACTTGCTGGGCCCATCCGTCATTTCATCGACTTGCTGGGCCCATCCGTCATTTCATCGACTTGCCGGGCCCATCCCCCACTTGATAGGCTTGCTGGGCCCATCCCCCACTTGATAGGCTTGCTGGGCCCATCCCCCACTTGATCGACTTGCTGGGCCCATCCCCCACTTGATCGACTTGCAGGGCCCATCCCCCACTTGATCGACTTGCAGGGACGATCCCCCACTTGATCGACTTGCAGGGCCCTTCCCCCACTTGATCGACTTGCAGGGCCCATCCCCCACTTGATCGACTTGCAGGGCCCATCCCCCACTTGATCGACTTGCTGGGTCGATCCCCTACTTGATCGACTTGCTGGGTCGATCTTCCACTTGATCGACTGGTTGGGTCGATTCCCCATTTCATCGATTCCCCACTTAATATTTCCTTATCGAATTAAACGAACTCGTTGCCCTGCTTGGATGTATTAATTCGAACAGAAATTGCGGTATTGTAATTTTATGAAACACTAGGAGTTTTAGTGCCACGCGTAAGGTAGCGTCGTTATCAACTAAGTCACGTGATGGACCTTGAAGTCATAACGTCTTAGCTTAGGCCTAAGGTACGACCTTTCTCGTACTGCCTAAGTTACGTGTCTTCTGTCATCTTACAAGCTGCAAAATGGCCGCCTAAAAACAGGAAAAAGTGAATTTTTCCAACTGTAGTAAACCGAATTTCGTATGTGAGACAGTTACAATTATTTCTTACCAAATCTACAACGCTGGCAAGAATTAATGGGATATGTTGGAGAGGTGACAGGAAATAAATTCTCTATAAAGAAGTTGAAATCATATTTTCGCGATACGTTATGTCTTACGCTCATAACGAACGCTGTTTTAAAGTATTTCCCATATTTTCAAGAAAAGCAAACTTCGTACTCATCACGGAGGGCCACAAAATCGAATACTTCATGCACAATGTATATTTTTTGTTCTGTTGACTCGTAACGTGTTTTAAATGTCTCACCACTAGCCTACACTCATTGATGTATTATGCAATTTCTCTGTTCAACGCTTGAAATGCTTCCTTTGTTATAATGCATAATGCAATGTTGCAATTGCTGAAATTCTTCTGAAAGTTGTTCATTACGACCGTATGAAGGCATTAGTAACGTGATCAATAGAGTTTAAAGATATCCCGTTACGTCTGGCACTAAATCACCCTATTTACTAATGTGAGGAAATACCCGAGAATATGCGAGTGCTCTTGTTGGAGTACTAGCGACTGAGATAGCTCAGGGGGAACACCGTAGACCCTCGAGTTGTGCTGGCCGAAAGGTTCTAGGGTTAGAGTGCCGACCTTCAGGGATTTCCTGCTGTAACGACGGAGCTGGGTCGAACTCAATTAATGGGAGAAGGAGAATTCTATGTGGCGGCTGTCTTCATCGATAGATTCCTGGGGGTTCTCCGCCCTATAACAGGCGAATCCCGGAAAAGGAATCGGTCACATACCGCTTCATATTTCGCACCTAATCCTTGTTTCTCCTCTCTTCTTTTGGTTTCCTTTACTCAAATACAAAATATTGCATGCACTATACAACCACACATTTCACAAACTCAGTCTGGAGCGTAGAGCTTCTCTCAATAGAGAGTGTCCCACGGGGCGGAAACATTCGGAAGAGGAAAACCCGCAAACCCACGTATGGGTGCTGCACAACATTGCACGTTTCAGCATGGTAAGTGTACCGCCACCTCCTGGAATGTAACACGCACTACACTAACGAGTATAATAACGTTAGGAGTTGGCTCGTTGGAAATCACTAAATAACCAATTTTAGAATTTTTCTTCGTCGTTAGGTTTCATTCATTCATTTATATTAGGTTTTGACTTGACCATCTCGAATCTTTCCTCTTGGTTCTGTGATGTCGAATCCCATATTACTTGGCGTACTATTTGAATGTACTGTAACCAAATATTCCAATTCTTTAGAATCAAACTCATTCTTTGTGTTCTTGTAAATCAGGAGCTTAAGAAATTATTATTATTATTATTATTATTATTATTACTATTATTATTACTATTATTATTATTACTATTATTACTATTACTATTATTATATTGTTTTGCATCATTATTGGCACATTTTTGTAGTTTTCGTGTCCGTGGTTAAGGAGACTCCGTCGCTCGGTTGCAATGTGTTCCTACCTGTTCACGTCAAATCAGTGGACATAGAATTTAAAAGGTGCTTCAAAAACGCACATCATTTTTTATTTAATTTTGTGGTATTTTATGACAATGTCTTCGTAAATCTACATCTTAATTTATTGTGTTTTGCAACTATGTTGTGAATATCGTTTTATTAAATAGACTTACTAATTTTACTGTGACATTGGTATCAAATTCCGCATTATACCGAGACCTCACTTCAAAAAAAGATTTAAAAAATTAGTCTACCTACGCCTGTAAATGCATCTCAATCATGTAGCTCTAAACCTACTTGATAAAAGCGAAGAAATTAATCGTCTCAATTGAGTTTCCTGTCATTACCCCACCCACATCTTCTCCGTTAGAATAGCATTTGTTCCAACGGATTTGTCAACAATGGAAGGAACCAATGAGTGACTTTCTTTTATTTGTTTTTATATTGAGAATTAATAGTTATAATAATTACTGATTATTTCACTTCTAAAATAGATTATAAATATACGTTGTATAAATATATGGAATGACTATATCTACTTTCTTAATAAAATATCTGAAAAATTGCATTAACGGAATCACTACGTTTCGTATGTCAATGCTTCAATTCTGTGTGATGATTTAGTCCTAATTGTGATGGCGATTGCTTTTTCCCAGATGCAGACTACTCGCCTATATTTCAGGTAAACCTTGTATTAGATGCGCTGTATGGATTACGTAAATAACGGTAATAACCTATTTTATCGCTGGGAGGAACTGGAGGACATAAAAGCTAAATTCCATCCTTGTGAACTTCAACAACACGGGACGCAGCTGCACCGTTATTCTCTTTTTTTACGATCAAATGGTTTCTCCTAGAACAACCTTTTTAAATAAACGTCACATAAAATGTTTGGTATTAGGATCACCATCAAGATAAATCTAGTATTATTTTGTGTCAAAGAATATGTGGGTTAGAGCAAAAATTAATAGTCTTACCTCTAATTGTAAAGCTACAAAGGGCTTCAATACATGTTTGATGAAAATCACATATGACGTATTTTTATGAATGTCGTAATTAATGCAAAATGCATTTTTACATTTTTCTATAAATATCGAAAAAGTTTCAGACATACAGTTTGAAGAAAGTAGAATGACAGTTCCTTTATAAGCGTGTTATACTACAAGCGAGTATTATTCGTGAAATTATTCACAGTTCACTTTGAACTCTAGCTTGTCATGCAATAAATCTAGTTATCACACTACAGGAACACCACAATGCAGGAAGCGATTTTAAATGAACTATTTGAGGAATATTCATTCACCAATATTTCTATTTCATAACACTCCGAACTGAGTACCGCAATTTTTATACATTATATTATAATCAAATGTAAAAATTGTAGCAATATTCAATATTGAATTTTCATTTATATATTTCTGAAAAGAATAAGTATGGCAAAAAATTATTCAAGTTAAAGTAACTGTATTTTCATTGAAAATGCATTTTAGATTGCAATGCTTTCGTTAATTATGTACTTACACAAACATATTAATATATTACTTACATTTACCAATCATCGAAACTGTGAACTTCGATTCTCAGAAATGTGTGATATAATGAAATTAAATCACTCATTTCTTCTTATTATATAGATGGTAAACTGAATTAATTTTTACTACTCTGTGCATAAATTTCTATTACATAAAGAGGGCATTTATGTTCGTGATGTTCTAAATACATAAATAAATAAACTTAACAGTAAGATGTTTACAAAGCTAAGGGATTTCAATCTCGTGAAACACGCACTTGAGGTTGGTGAACGTAAGTACGTGGATTCTGTGGAGGCAAACGCACAACTAAGGTTGCCGGTTTGAAAACCATGTAAGGCACGAATTTTTCAATTGTTTTCGTGGCGTGGGGATATTGCGATACCCATGCGCATTACATCTACGCCCTAATTCTTCCATGAGCTCTTGGTCTGACGTATATGTATCCTGTGTACAGGAATAACTGGATCCCCACTCCTAGAACAGTGGTACAAGCATAGAGATGGAATCAAGGAATACCATGGACAAATATGTAAATGTAAAAGGCTTAAATTGGTCGGCGTGAAGTTTGTAGAGCGAAAAGGAGTTCTTCTTTAGGAATGTTCCCGAAGACGGTGAGAGACCATGGTAGGTATTTTAGAGGCCGACAGATAGAAACAGGAAAGAGGATGGGGAAAAATCGAAAACTGAAACTAAGGAAAACTCAAAATGAATAGGAAACTAAGTGATAAAAATGTCTGTGCCATTTTGTGTCACCGCTAGTTTAAATGTCAGTGGTTTAAAATAGTTGATAAATGGAAGATTACGGGTTAAGTTTCTACTCCAGGAATGCCAAAATGATATTGTTACTCAACATTTTTTATTATCACATTATCATTTTTTTTAAATGGTCGAAAGAAGAAACTGTTCGATTGCAATGTTAATGGGAGAGGTAACCCAAGTTGTCACACTTTGAAAACAATTTATCACGTCAAAACTGATAGATCTTCGGAATGAATTCGTTTTTATCACGCTTTTCAGACATCTCTGAAATATTCAGTATTCATTAAAATGTTCTTGAATCATAAAGTAATATCCTTGAAACTGTATACGTTTGATTAAATTAAACCAATTGAGCATAATCATTTTTATCTTCTGACCTCCCTACTAAAGACGTTAGGTACTTGTTAAGTATAAAATTTAGTCTACTTTACGACCACCTTGTTAAGAAGCGATATGAGGACGAGATTCCTCTACTTAAGTCTGAGGACAGACTGAGGGTTTGATATTTTGTACCAAAATTCGGCCGTTTCCAATATCGCGATGACTTGCACTTTCCACTCGTTTTCATGACCTAGCAGTTGTTATAAAATAATGTTAATAAACGTTTAATATTATGCATATTACTAATGTACATGACAAATGTTTAGGTAACTAAATGATTTACGAGTAAATAGTTATTGAGTAATACGTTAACAGCTAGCTCTGAGAATCATTTTGCTCCAAAGCCATCTCAGTCCCCTCGTCATGAAGTAACACGGATATCGCATTTGGGCGCCTGATGCACTGCCTCCCTGCCACCCGGGCGCATTGATCCGCTGCAGCGGCGCCCTCTGCGGAGGCTGCCTGTCCCCAACCCCGCCACTCGCCCCGCCACTCGCCCGCACTCGCCCGCCACTTCGCCCGCCACTCGCCCCGCACTCGCCCGCCACTCGCCCCGCCACTCGCCCGCCACTCGTCCCCGCCATCGCCCGCCAACTCGCCCCGCTACTCGCCCCGCCACTCGCCCCCGCACTCGCCGCCACGCCCCCCTCGCCGCCACTCGCCCCGATGCCACTCCGCCCCCGCCACTCGCCCCGCCACTCGCCCCGCCACTCGCCCCCGCCACTCGCCCCGCCACTCGCCCCGCCACTCGCACCCCGCACTCGCCCCGCCACTCGCCCCCGCATCGCCCCCGCCACCGCCCCCGCCATCTCGCCCCGCCACTTCGCCCGACTCGCCCCGCCCACTCGCCCCCGCCACTCGCCCGCCCTCGCCCCCCGCACTCGCCAGCGCCCGCCCGCCACTCGCCCGCCTCGCCGCACGTACGCCCCGCCACTCCGCGCACTCGCCGCACTGGCCGCCACTCGCCCCGCCACTCCCGCCCGCCCGCCAACTCGCCCCCGCCACTCGCCCCGCCACTCGCCCCCGCCCCACTCGCCCCGCCACTCGCCCGCCGCTCGCCCCCCGCCCCATAACCCGCTCATCGCTCCACCCCATACCCCATCCCGCCCCGCCAGCGCCCTTATTTCACTCCCATTTAAAGAGCTGTTTGAGCGTCGCGCCGCCACTGACGCGGGATAAGCCCGCGCCTAATCTCATTTACATGCGCCCGCACCTCGCGCCCAAGGCGAGCGCCGCGCCGGCTTATCTGGAATGCACGCCGCGCCGCGCCACGCCTCCACACCTCGCGCCGACGCCCACGCGCGACGCCAGCGCCACGCAACTCCACGCAACCTAAGAAACTAGAGCTGATGAATCCTCAGCGGAGAAAATTAAACACGGTAGCCTTTACATGCCTTTTAATTATGGTCGTGTCACGAGTAAGCGAACTGGCCCTTTACATGCAATGTAATGACGATTTTTGCTGTAGCAGTATGTAGTAGCTGTAGCAGATTTTTGCTGACGATTTTAACTCAGTCATTCGACATGATAACAGGTTCTACCATCCCATGTACTAAAATTACAATATATGATCAAAAGTTTACGCTTACAGTTTCAAAATATGGCAGAGTTACAATGTCGATCAGAAAGCTTATATTGCAAGTGGCAAAATATTTATTTATACACCTAGGGCGTTACGCCGAGTGGCGACAAAAAGCCAGATAGCGTTGCTCCTTAGAACCCGTGTTAACGCCCGTGATACATACACGATCTTATTTTTTACCTCATTTTAATTATTCATATTCACTTACTAATTAACTAGTTGTTAACTTGACTTCGTTTGTTATTTCAAATTTTGCTCCCATAATTCCTTTCCTTCTCTTTCATAATTCCTTCAGTAAGAGAACATGTAGTAACATTCAACTGTTTTCACATTTCTCTCCCCACAATGATTCTCTCGAGCCAGGTAAGTTATCCATTGAATCGAATTTGATTTGCTCCTTATCGAAGGCAATAACAATCAATAATGAATTTAAAAAAACTTTTCTGTTATTATTTCTAATTATACACTCGTAAATTAGCAACTAACTAGCACATCCTGGTCTTTTATAAGAGAAATACATACTGCGCAAAATTAAAATGGTGATTCATATGTAAATAAACAAATATGCTACTAATATCTACAACTTTTACAGAAATTTCCCTCTGCAACACAGCAACTGTCGTAAGCTTACTTTCCGTCGCACAACCCCCACGCACCGTTTGGTGACAGTTGATGTTCGTGAAGCACGATTTCACTTGCCATTGTCATCAATTGCCCATGGCGCCACTGCAATCACTTTAACACACGCCCAACAATTCGTATCAATAAATCAATGATTCCTTATTTTCCGTGGTGATGCACAGATCACGAGTCCTGCTCTGCTGCCTAATCACACAAATTCCGTTATGCTCCTTTTACCGTCTGGCAGAGACAGAATGTATCAGTCGGGCTATTGATCAGAGGGAAGACTAAAATTAGTAGGTGTCTCCACTCTTATGTTTCACATTAAACCTCAACAATTCATGTTATTTTTAATGCAGGGTTATCTGCCGAAGGTCTGGTGCGTCGATGTGAAATCGAAAAGTAGTGCTAAGCCTGGAAATGGCGGAGGGGAGCAAACTTGTATAGTAAGGATTCTCCCGTTTCAGTCCAAACCCTTTGATTAACGACTCCGTGGCAAATTGATGTATAGATAACAATTACTCAACGGCTGTCCCGGTATGTCTGCGTGTGTTGTGATATTAGAGCGTGAGAGCTGAATGGACGACTATGCTCGCAATTCGAAGCTTTCTGAATTGTATTTTCCAGAAGAGGATGCAGTCCAGGATGCATCTTCTACCCACACTTGACTTCATTTCTTTTCAGATTTAAATCATTCTCCTGTGGAGAAGTTTTTTAGTGAAGCTGAAATGCCCACTTTTCTCAGTGTCACTTCAAAGCCGAGGGAGCCTACCCTGCCTATGACTAGTCACACTGAGGATAGCACTTTGGTGTAACCCCCTTCCTGCAGAAGAATGTCGTAAAGACAAAATTAAGGCGATAATTTCCTAACAAAGATCTTATTAAAACAATAGTTTGGTAACTTAAAACAGTCGATACTCGTTTACATGAACTCATTATGAAGAATACTTAACTCTGGTGGTGGGGGTATGTATAAAAAGCGTCGGCAGGTAATCAGACTCCATTTGCTTCAGCGACATCACGTGGTCAATACGAGAGACGTTTACCTCGTATTTTAGGCCAATGGTCACCACGTTTATGTGTCAAGTCAATGCCATCTACACTTACTGAAACACACTAAAAAGTAGATGGTGTAGATGGTGTTGAAGTGTGTGTGCGCGCATCGTTATTCGCAAAAAAGCCGAGATAAGTTCGTTCATTCTCCGCGTGATGAAGTTGAAGCAAATTGTGTCCGATTCACTGCCAATGCTTTACGTATTATTCGCGCACGTTTTCTTGAGCCATCGCTTCACTAGTTGCGAGAGGAGTGGGGAGTTTGTTGTTGTTTTTTTAAAGGAATTTTACATCAAATTTGTTGTTTATTTTTCGAAGCAAAAAAGTTTATATTACACGGGAGCAAACATTTCTGGTTATCAGATTTTGTCTACAACGCTCGTTGCTATCATTTATTTTTAATGCAACTAATGTTCGCAAAGGAGTGGGTGTAGTTATTTTGGAGTTCAAGAGAACGTGCGCGTATAATAACGACCCGCATCCCCCATATGCCTTCAACACTTGAAGGGATTCCCGTTCTTACAGATTCCATGTTCATTACACAATAGCCACGTTTTGAAACTCTCGAATTTCGTAATTTAACATCATCCCTTACGATACCAAAGAAGTCAAAGTAGAGTGAGAAGATTTCAAGCTCTGTGAATTTATGTCAATATTATTAATGTTAAGGTGGAGATATAAAGAAAACTTGTGTTTCTGAAGTTACAATGTTAATATTGTTAACATGAAGTAAGAATCATAATGTAAGTAAAATAAGCTACATCTTGGTTGTTTGTTATGTATTTAATTTATACATGTTTTTAATTTGTGCGAAGTAAATTGTACTAATAAACACACTAAAATTACTTTTTTTTTAAATTTCACTTCACTTTGAATCTGACAACTGTGCGCAACATTACTAAGCATGATTCTTTAATATTGATACAAGTAAATTATATTCTTTAGTTTATATGTCATTACAAAACTCTCAAGAGATATCCATGTAATTATAATTTCGCACTTGTATTAATCGATTACTAATTTAAGAAGAATTAGAAATGAAATACTTTCATCATAAATATAATTTTAACTATGGTTTATGAAAAAGGACTCTGATTTTCGATCAATTTATTCTGTTGATTTCCGCTTTTGCATAACAAATAAAAAATAATTTAAATATAAATATAATAAAAATAATTTGTTACATTCAATGCAAATTGTTATTTACGCACTAAAAACTGAAATAAATTTACCAAAGAGAAAAAAGTAATTCAGTAAAAATTGTAAGATAAAATGTAGATCACGCATGGCCACCTGCATCCCTTTACATGTAATGTCTTTGACGAAAACAATTGAGTTACCGGCGGTGTTCCGAAATATACAAAATGCTTGTGTGAAACAGGTGATAAATTACACATCGTGTCGGAACTCAGTTATTAATTTTATTGTAAAATAGTGGCCATCGATGTTTACTCTGCAAACCCACAATCAATTATCTACTGCTCTAAATTCATGGAGACCTAACATAACACCATTTGCCAGCAAGAAGACAAGTGGATTACACAACAGACACCCAACGAAGTTTAATGTGGCCTTGTGTGTTGATAGATTTAATGAAGTCTTGGAGATTGCATCAGATTCTATAATATTCAAAGAATTGCACAATATTAAGGCAGTTCTATTTGAAAAAATCGTATCGTGGAAATTTTCTGTGTTCCAACCGCATTCCATACCTGAAAAAGCAGGTTACTGGAATGTCTCGTTTGTTTCATCCGACACCTTTGCAGAAAACAAAAAGGGCACTAGTGAACTCTCAAGGACACATTTGGACAATGGATCACCAACCTTCTCTTCGCATCTTTTTAGAAGAAACATTCAAAAAACGTTGCAGGAGACTCTCCTCCCGTATGATATTCAGATAAGGGGTTTTAAGTGTGGCGCTCGCCTTGACCAATCCCCGGGCTACAATCTCCTGGAGACGTTAAAGAAGTACTTACGAATACCCAATACACAGCCAACTACAGATCCGAAATTGACCACCAAAACTGGGACCCAAACACCAGAAACTACATCTGTTGATACCGAGCGTTTGAAGACTCTTTTGAATGAAGAATCGAAAAATCCGGAGATGCAGATGCGCATAAAATTAGCTTTCGCCGAAGGTTACTTAGCGGGGACAGGTCACTCCGTACAAAGTCGCTCAATGAAATTTCTTAAGGTCTTCCAGCAGGTTCTTCTCATCATGCTCTCGGTGGCGATATTCATTTCATTTCTGGCCATCTTCAGCGGATCCAGCTTCCGCCTGCAACTGGGCAACCACGTCGAGGTCGACCCGGAAGACATCCACGTCACGTTCAACGACGTGAAGGGCGTGGACGGCGCGAAGGAGGAGCTGCGGGACGTGGTGGAGTTTCTCAAGTTCCCGGAAAAGTTCTCCGTGCTGGGGGGCAAGCTGCCGAAGGGCGTGCTGCTCGTGGGGCCGCCGGGCACGGGCAAGACGCTGCTGGCGCGGGCGGTGGCGGGCGAGGCGGGCGTCCCGTTCTTCCACGCCGCCGGTCCCGAGTTCGACGAAATCCTCGTTGGGCAGGGCGCCCGCAGAGTGCGCGACCTCTTCAAGGCCGCCAAGGAGAACGCGCCCTGCGTCGTGTTCATCGACGAAATCGACTCCGTCGGCTCCAAAAGAACCAACTCCGTCCTGCACCCGTACGCGAACCAAACCATCAATCAACTGCTGTCTGAAATGGACGGGTTCCACCAAAACGAAGGAGTCATTGTACTAGGAGCGACCAACAGGAGGGACGACCTGGACAAGGCGCTGTTACGGCCAGGCAGATTCGACTTGGAAATAACCGTCCCGGTCCCAGATTACGTAGGCCGCAAAGACATATTAAAACTGTATCTGGGGAGAATACTGTGCAAGAACATGGACGTCGAGTTGCTCGCCAGAGGCACTACAGGTTTCACCGGGGCTGATTTGGAGAATATGGTGAACCAAGCAGCGTTGAAAGCAGCGATAGAAGGAGCGGAACACGTTTCTATGAAGCATTTAGACAACGCGCGCGATAAGGTTTTGATGGGGCCGGAAAGAAAATCTAGGATTCCGGATGAAGAGGCCAACACAATTACGGCGTACCATGAGGGAGGCCACGCCATTGTAGCTTATTACACCAAGGACTCTCACCCGTTGCACAAGGTACGGAGACGCTCAATTCTGAAAAAGCTATTTTCATATTAAATTAAGTTTTCTGATCAATCCATTAATTTTCTAAATGAATAAGGTTGTTCGATATTTTCTAGTAAAGAAACTCGACACGTTTACCGGATTTTGTGAGAAGAATTTATTTTTATATCATGCATCACTAACTATTAAACAGGTGGCTGGGGTCATTATCGTCCACATACTAACAGTTCACCACATGCATTCACTGTGAACATCGCTTGGACTAATAGCATGGCACTCAATAGTGAGTTCATATTGTTCACAGCATATCAATAATATTTGGTAGCACGAATATATTTTTTTTTACTTTGTTATTACCATTTCTGTTTTTATGTATAATCAATAACAAACATTATTTGAATCAATTAGTTATAAACTGACCGTGAAAGTTTAATTTGGGCCACCTAGAGCATATCATAGTGATCCAAATGTGTCGATATATAAAAGAATAATTAAGGAACATTTTCCTCTTCTTCACGTTCATTTAAAATTATTTCCTTCGTATATATGTGTAGTAACATTCAATGTTTTCTATTTGTATTTCCTGCTACAAAGTTTTTGTCGTTTTAAAGATTTTATCTCCCTTTTTCGTCACACGTTTTACAATTGCAGAGTTCAGATCATTCTGCCTTGATAAATTTTATCCCTATACTTCTTTGTGATTAATGAATAAAATCAGTCTATTTTCAAGCCATATTGTGTGAGGGAGCCATATTATTAACATAATGTGATATGTTCTATTCACCAAATTTTGAAAACATTATCTCTTAATGATCGTAGCAAAATTTGAGATCATTTGAGAAATTTGCTCAGCGTTGATTGTTTTATGTTATTATGTTTGAATTAATTGGCTTTCGAAGAAAACAGTGCCTAGAAATATCACTAAACATTACGTGGGTTATAATACCTTCTCCAAGTACATTACTTTGAACTATTCGAGTTGTAGTTTCTCTGTTTAGGATGAAAACAATTCTTTCAGTTATAAACTTTATTTGTAGTTGTTCAACCTCATCGATTTTATACATCAGAGGTAGTTGGGCTAATAAACCGAATCACAACTTTTTTCTACTTTCTCACCATACAATATACACCGTACTTGCGTAGTAAAGTGAAAATATTGTAATGCTGTATTAGAAAAGCGTGTTGTAGTTGTTGCGGAACTCTGATATCAAAAAGGAGATAAATCACGATCCTATACGTAGTAAATTCCTGCCTCTAACACATGAGGCACTCATATTTACTCATTACTCATTAGTGATAGTCCACTTCATATGTGCATATGCTGGGGCGGGAACGAAGCAGCTGATTTAGTTACTGGCAGTTCCAATGATCGCGAGCACTTCATATGTGCATATGCTGTGGCGGGAACGCTGCAGCTGATTTAATTATTGGGGCTTCCAACGATCGCGAGCACTTCATATGTGCATATGCTGTGGCGGGAACGCTGCAGCTGATTTAATTATTGGGTCTTCCAACGATCGCGAGCACTTCATGTGGGCATACGCTGTAGCGGGAACGCTGCAGCTGATTTAGTTACTGGCGGCTCGAACGATCGCGAGCACTTCACGTGTGCACACGCCGTTGCGGGAGCCTTGGGGTTCAGAAGCTTCGCAAGACGCTTCGCTTGTCGGCAGGTGACCATCATCCCGCGCGGGCCGTCGCTGGGCCACACGGCCTACATCCCGGAGAAGGAGCGCTACCACGTGACCAAGGCGCAGCTGCTGGCGCTGATGGACACGCTGATGGGCGGGCGCGCGGCCGAGGAGCTGGTGTTCGGCGCCGAGAAGATCACGTCGGGCGCGTCCTCCGACCTGCAGCAGGCCACGGCCATCGCCACGCACATGGTCAAGGACTGGGGCATGTCGGAGCGCGTCGGCCTGCGCACCTACGAGCCCGGAAACACGCGCGGATGGGTACAGGTGGGCGTCCGGTGGGGCACTGACATTCTTCTCCCCCCCCCCTTGCAGCTGACAGCCAATATTTACAGTTGTCGGATTAGTTCGTCTTTTGACAGCAAGAAGTATTTATATATTAGAACAATTCATTTTCGACAGACCATAATTCAACTTACAATAGAATGTATTATTAATAAGGTGTATTGGTAATATGGTATATGTGTTTTCATCGAGCGGCTCATGTACAGCGTGGTACAGTTCAAGCAGGCGCTTGACTTGAATTGAATTAATCCTTATTTTACGTGGCGAGACCCGGGCCATCAGGCCCGCTCTTCCGTCTGACCACGCAATTTTCGCTACGCTCCTTTCACCAACTAGCAGAGAAAGGAGGTATTTCTTGGGCGAGAAACTGGCGATTTGAATTTAGCTCAGAGGCGTCATTTAAACTGGACTATCTTTTACGTGCAAGTAAATCTACTAACATGGGACAGCCGGCTTTACTTCCCCTCCGAAGGAAGGCATACGAAGGATTTTTTCGCCCCTCAAAAATCCACGGCTTCCATCAGGTTTGAACCCGCCAACTTGGATAAAACAGTCCGCTACGCTAACCGTTTCACCATCGCGCCGCGCATCGCCGGCGCTTGGGGGTGCGATTCCCGGCCGAAGCAAAAAATACATTCTAGATTTCTAAAATAAATTTCCTTAGTTTCTATAGTGGCGAAAGAAAGCCCATGTACGCCAAATAAGCTAGGTACGGTAATGGGAATTCGTTATCATCGCTCCATGTCTCCTTTACTCCCAGGTATGGATAATTAATAAAAAAAAGGTTCACATCCGGGAATACCGTTAGCTGGCAAAAGTCGGATTAAACCGGTCCTAAAATGCCA